ACATCAAGAGGCTTTACATCTATCAGTCCTCTCCTTGGGGTATGTACTGTTCTCAGAGCAGCACTGTCCAACATGAAGGTAATTTTATAATTTGCATTTCTACTCACTCCCAGCTCTTTCATTTGAGCTTCAATCCACTTCATATTTGTTGCAGACCAAATAACAATGTCATAATCTCCACATGCAGATATGAAAAATTCATGAAGATATGGCCACGTTAATTCCACCTCAGTTTCTGCACAAGACCTATGGTCAAACATTGTATAATCAACATCTAGTACCAACAGCTTTTTTCCTTCTCTTGGAGGATTCAATATTTCCTCTTTGTACTCTTTGACTCTGAGAAATTTTCAATAGATTTTCTTTTCTGTTTACCACTTCAACTACTTCATCTTCAGTGTCAAAGTCATTGACAACATCATCCTTGCCAGGGGGTGGACCCAAGACATCTTCCAAGCTCTCCTCACGAGTTCCCCTCATCATGATTTTAGTATTTGGTTTCAGTCTGAGAGCTCCAAGCTTAACATCATTTTCTGCAGATTTGCCTGTACTTTGAGTCCCAGTAATTTCTGGTGCTCTGGCAGCACTCCAGTAAGGGTCTGGAGAAACTGTTTGACATCTAGCACAGTATCATCCTCTGAAAGTGTGGTCACTGAATATTACTGAATAGTCTTGTCTTCATTTTACAATGATTAGAAGAGCCATTTCTGCAGCATATGAAGTGGCAGCTTTCCCTCAGGAAAAGATATCTGGAGCGTGGTAGAACGCAACTGACTGCAGCAGAACCTCTGAGCTGTCTTGCTATTTTAAACTTCCAGGAATAAGGCTGCCAGAGCAGCAGGATGAGAGAGGCTCCCTGCCACTGATTCACATCAGGACAACCCCCACTCTCGCAGCACCTCCTCTCAGACTGTGGCTGCAGCAACCAGCACCTGCCAGCCTACACATTAAGCTGTCAGCACCACTTCCCATCTGATGGCTGAAGCTACCAGCATCTCCAACCAGGCCAGCCCTGTTTCTCCTGGCATATCCTGTGGACCCACATCTGAGTCTCCCAAGGTGGCCTGCCAGCCTAAACTGAGGTCTGCAGGTCTTAGGACTGCCGCATCACCGCACCTCGTGCCAACACGGTGTGGCAGGACTAGAAGACCATAAAGAGGGGCATTATAGGCTCTTTTCAGACATTGTGCTGCTGTCCCTTGCCAGCCCGGTGTCTCCGCTCAAACACGCTTGCCCCTGTGACAGGACACAATATTTAGGAGGTACCAGTGGTCCAGGTACTTCCCAGGATGGGGCTGGGTCTTGATCATGGCATTTTTAGGTGTCAGCTATAAGGTGGATAGGAGGAGTTGGATAGGAAACGGGCAGAGGGAACGGGCTCAGATGGGCAGGAGTTGCTGCGGGGCCTACTGAGAGGAGGTGGCTTGACCACAGCCAACAGTCCATGTGCCGTGCTTCCACGTGAGCATCTCTGTCATATGCCTCCTTCAATTTTCAGTGCAGATCAGCAATCCCTGCCCTGGACATGGACGTCCTCCTAATGGGGTCACTCAAGCAGGAGGAAGCCACAGTGAGCCACCTTGTTGCCCTAGTGTAGGACCTGGGGAAAAGGGAGAGACAAGGTTCCTAGTGCATGGGGGGGCTTGTGTGCTGCTATCCCTAAAGGCTCCCCCAGAGGCAGGGAGGGCTGGGCACCTTGGAGCTTCTGACTTCAGCCTCCCATGAGGCTGCAAGTAGATATGGGACTGACTGGGCAGACTGAGGCTAGTCCAGCACAGCCACCACTTCATTCTACCACCTCCGTAGTGAGCAGCTTCTCCACGTCCTCTCCATACCCCCCAATGGGAGGGCTTCCACCAAGAGACTGCTGGGCGTCTCTAGAAGAATAGTGGGTCCAGGCAAAGAGAGGCAGTGCCACGTGTTCTGTGGGCCAGAACCTAGTGCTGTGGCCCTGGCCGCCTTGGGGAAGCCTTGAGGGGGACGTGCCGTGTGCAACCCAGAGAGTGCTGAGCCTCCCATCTGCAGTGGTAAGGACGGGAAGTACCTCAGCTCTGTGACCAGACAGGTGAGACTGCGCCCCACATCCCAGCCCCAGCCATCGAGCCTGCTGGCCTGGAAGTCTGCACAGCTGAGCACTGCAGTCAGCCCTTTCAAGTGGAGAAGAATTGCATTCTGAGAGCCTCCCTTATCAGAAACTTTCCCTAGAGAAGACAAGAGTTCTAGTCTAAGTTACCTAATTGAGGTACCAGTATTTTTGTCACATTTTGTCATTTTATGTGGCAATCTAAACACAGCATCGATTCTCAAAAAATAATGAGAACTGATTGGTATACTATACTACCCTTATAATACAGATGTGCTGGTGTAACAAGGGCTTGTTTAGCGCAGCTGGGACAACGGGAAGGGAGGAATTAGCATGAGGTAACCTGACACCAAGTCTAGGGTCTCTGAGGCATAAGGGGGTGCTGCCAGCTCATTCATTGAAAGGTCCCTGCTGAGCAATGTCCCCATTTGCTCAGCCTTATTGTTAAAACTGAACATTGTTGCAGAAATCCGTGCCTACCTGGGAGGGATGTGTAGACTGAAAACACAGGATATGTGAAGCAAGGGTGCAGGTGTGGGGCGGAGAATCTCTTGCTCCCTCAGGAAGTTCTTAACAGATTCCTTGTCTATGGAGGCGTGAGCCCTTGTCCTGTATCATGTGTCAAGTCCAGGAAGTGACAGGAATGGTTGCACCTTGGTATCGGCATCTTCAGAGAAGTCAGTTCTCATGGGATCTGGGCGCACTCACGCTGCTATGCTATTGCTGAGGTGAAAGAAGCCCGCAGTTTTTGGGTTTCCTTCTGCAGTGCTGTAATCACTGTACATCAAATCCCCCACCCCCGCCCGCTCTGGCCAGGCCTCCTAGCCTGGTCTCTACATTTACTCATTTATTTATTTGTATTATTGTTTTTTTAAAAAAATTAAAAATTTATTATGGACTTTATGACATACAAAAAATAGAAAAAGCAGTATATCAAGCATCCATGTACAGAGCAGTTAGATTGGTTAACGTCTTGCCATTTACGCTTCACACACAAACATACTTTGCTAAACCATTTCAATATATTTAACATTTCACTCCTGAATGTTCTAGGATACCACATAGGATAATCTTCTATAAATGACAATTTTATCACAGATCATAAAGTGAGGAATGATGATCTAAGTCTGAAACTCCAGTCTATCTTCAAACTGTGTACAGACTCCCTCAGTCCCCTCCCCAAGGTTTCTACAGATGGTGGAGTCCAATCAAGGACACCACATGGTGGCCAGGGTGCTTGGGTGCGGGTGTGTAGTGACAGAATGCATCGTGCTCAGGCAGTAAGAGGCCCTGGGTTGATCTCTGGCACCACAAAAACAAAGCAGAACAAAAATAAATAAAGATCCCATGTTGCTCTCCGCTATAATGGCTCTTCACTTTTAATCAAGAATAGTTAGTTACCACCCACCTCCTTTGCTCTTTTCTTACAACAGTGTTCACAAAGAGGTTAAGCCACTTATTTTCCACAACAGCTCGGTCTGCACCTGTCTGAGCCTTCCCTGAGCAGTGTCATTTGACTTGTTGCTCTATCCCCAGTAGTATTTCCTGCAAAGAGAAATTTGCTCTTAGAGCTTGAATACAGCCCAGTTAAAACCTTGTGATGAGAACACTTCATTTGTGATGTAGCACACTTCAAACTGCACCACAAATAAGCATCCTGTTTGTCTGCTTGGGTTTAGTGTGATCAGAACTTTCTTTTTGTAAAAAGTATGTTTTCCGGGGGCCGGGGAGATGGCTCAGTAGGATAAGCGCTTGACTGGCAAACTCAAGGATCTGAGTTCAATCCCCGGTTCCACCAAAAAAAAAAAAAGTATGTTTTCCCACAACAGCAAGTCTCTTGTTGAGATAATATTCTGGTATCACCAAGAATTCTAGGGAATATATACACCGACTTTTTATCCAGTATTTTGGCACCAGAAAGTCTTTAATAGAACTGTATATTAACTTTTCAACTTTTAAATATTTCAATTTTTTAAAAAAATTTTATTTAAAAAATTTAATGTGATTTACTACTCATTATGGTCACTTCAATGAGGCTGTCTTCTAGATAGCCCTTATTTATTTTGCCGAACCCGGGATTGAATTCATGCCCTTGCGCTTGCCAGGGAAGCTCTTGTTCTACTGAGCCATCTCCCTCGCCCCTGCAAGATAGCCTTTTTTTTTTTTTTAATTGTACTTGGTTTATTTAAAACTATATTCAAGTGCATTTTTTTCAACCCTAAGATTTCTTTCAGCTTGCTACCACATGAATTTCTTTCTTTCTTTCTTTCTTTCTTTCTTTCTTTCTTTCTTTCTTTCTTTCTTTCTTTCTTTCTTTTTTTGTTTTTTTGGTCCTGTCAGAAGAATAGCCCTTTTTAAAAGAGCTGATGCTTAATCCAGGCATTCCATCTGCCTTGCCACAGTTCTTCTATCTCCACTTGAATTATGAACAATGAGAACTTCAAATGACAACTGTTGTCTTATATCCAATTCTTACAGAAATTTACATTTTTGGAGCCTACAATTTGAATTGTGCATAGTATTTGTATTTTGGCACATGGTCTAGATTGTGTATTACTCCTTAATCATTCATTTCTAAAATTGAAAGTCAACAGTTTTCAGTCAGAATGTTACAGGACTCATTGTCAGCACTGTAAACGTTCACTGTGATGAAAACATGTCCTGTGTCTCAATTTTAGCCACATTGACCAGTTCTGGACACCAATTGACAGTGTCCATTCTAATCCAGAATGAGGCTTTGAATATTTCAATTTTTAAATGGTCAAAATAATTTTTTTTCTTTTTCTTTTTCTTTTTTTTTCTTGTAGGAACCGGGGATTGAACTCTTGCCAGGGAAGTGATTATCCTACGGAGCCATCTCCCTGGCCCCTAAAATCATGTATTTTCTATGAATCATATTTTTTTTCTTTTTTGAGACAACGTCTTGAGACGTAGTTCAGACTGGTCTCGGATTCTTATGTAGTCCAGGCTGGGCTCAAACTTGCCACAATCTTTCTGCCTCAGCCCCCTGAATGTTGGGATTACAGGCATGTACTACCATGTTGGCTCAAATCATAAAATTTATACAAAAGTTACACTTATGATAGCAAACTTACTCAACTGAATTTTGAGCCCCTCCTTTCTTTTTGATTTTGTCTGAAACCCATGTGACAGCCACTCATGTACCATGACATCAGCATGCTGCCTAGAGTGTCTGCGTCATCGAAGGAGTCTGGGCAGATGTGAGGCATCGGGGGGATCATTGGCGGTCCAGCCAGAAGTGGAGGCAGCCAGCATGACAGGAAGTGTGGTGGTGGTGTAGGGGGGCCACTGAACTTTAGACCTGGCTTTCCAGGTGCCAATCCTGAGCCAGGAGCAGGGGGTGGTGGAGAGAAAATGGAGCTCCAAGGTGTGGCTTTTGACCTGGCAGTGCCTGGTTTACTTCCTGGAGACTTGAAAGAGTTCTCACTTTCATCCGTTGAAACTTGACTTTCATTTTCATTTTCCTGAGCATTCTGTTCCATGCTGTTAGCTGATTCTGAGCTCAGAGAAAGCAGATCAGACAGTTTCTGCTCCTCTCTGTTTCCATAGCCAGTGTGGAACACAACACAGGTTTCTCTCTTCAGATCCACAGAAGCGATGGTAGCTGGGTAAACACAGTCATCTTCTGACCAAACAGCTGAACACCTGTCACCCCCTTTCCACTGTTTTGAGGGAGCTATGGTGTTCTTCTTCTGGCTTTTATTCTTCTCAACAAGTTTTCTTCTGGAGATACCTTTTGGTTTGCCTGAAGTTTCACTTTGTGTTTTATCTGAAATGTCACCGTTCTTCAGTGCGTGCTTAAAGGAAGCAACAGCTTGATCCTATGCTTTTATCAATGCTGAATCATTCCAAATGTCAGAATCATCACTCTGGCCTGTGCCACACCGAAACCGTACAGTTTTCCTGCTCTGGAATGCAGCCACCATCGCCACTACTACCCATGGCTATGTATGTGTGTATGTATATAAGTATGTATGTATGTATGTATGTATGTGCCAGGAATTGAACTCAAGTCCTTGTGCTTGCCAGGCAGCCACTTGTGCCACTGAGCTATTTTATATCCCTGGGTTGTTTTTGTGGAAAGATCTATTATCATAGAGCTCAAAGCTCACAAACACCTCCCTGGCGTCCTCATAGTAATACTCCTACCTCAGCCTCCTGAGTTTCTGAGAGACTCAGAAACTGCTTAAAGTGTTTACTGTTAATGCCTTGAGCCCACCCAGCCCATGAGATGAGCATGTTACTCCTTGGACAATATGTGTTCCCATACTGACCCTGCTGGCTGGTTCGGGGCATTCTTACCCTGGAAGATCTCCTGCCGGGTGACTGCCACTTTCTAGGCTGTCTGGAAGCTGTGATAGGGGTGCTTCATGCAGGAGCAGATACACACAGTGACCAAGAGTTCTGGCAATAGGCAGTGGGGGCACTGGCCCAGTACTCACATAGTATAAATTCCAACGCCCCAGAATGAAGACTCCACCCACCCTTGGTGAAGCTCCAGGGTTGGCACCCAAGCCATCATCCAGGGACTCTGGCCTCTCCTGGTGTCTGCTCAGCCGTGGGTGTGGTAGCCAGGGACACAGACTTGAGGTCATAGGGCTTCTCTGATGGCTCGAGAGAACACTGCTGCAGAGCCCTCTCCAGCCCAGGGACGGACACAGTCAGACCTCGAGGACAGCACAAGAGATCACCACTGGACAGTGCAAAAGAAAGCATAAGGCCAAGAGCAGCCACTGTGGATGGGGAGTGAATCCATTAAGCTTCTCAGCCTCTGCTTAGTGAATAAACAGACACACAAAAGAGACTTATCAAAAGGTGAACTGGTGTGAAGACATGGGTTTCTATGACTGACAAATGTTCCCACTTACTAAGCTGTTTCCACTTTCATGACCCAGCTTTGCCCAAAGTCATCACAAACTTATGGGGCACCAGACAAATTCAGTCATGACTCTGTCTTAGATTCCTGTGCCCATGGAGAAGGCATGGGTTGCACATGCCACCAGAATCACCTTTAGGATGCAGCCAGCATTGAGTGCCTTCTTCTGCTCTAGGACATTCAGGCACCAGGTGGCCAGGTCCCTTACTTCCTTGTTATCTCAGTCTTACACAGCAGGAAGGATCATGCAGGGCATCACCAGGCCTGGGCAGGGGAAGGAGCGCCTGTCTCCTAAATCTGAGCACAGTCCCCAGAAGCAGGAGATCCTGCAAGTCTAGAACCCAAGCATCAAAACCCACAGGAGTAGGGCATGGAGACACACACCTGCAATCTCACTACTCAGAATGCTGAAGCACCGGGGTTGTGTTAATGTGGAGACCAGCCTAGGTTTAAGTGAAGCTCAAGGCCAGCCTGAACTGCATAGTGAGACCCTGTCTTAAAAGGACAAGAAAAAAGGAACATGTAGTTGTATTTATGAAACTGGAAAAGACCTAGCATGTGGCAGCTCAGCATAAATTCCTCTATGCTTTATTATATTTCTTCTTGGGTGTACCTCTTCATGCCCTGACACACTGGCTTCTAACTCTTTGGTCCAGTACTGTTGTATTCTTATGGTACATCCATGTGGTTTGGGTTACTACAGCTTTCTAGTATACCATTCACCATTGTTATCCCCCAGAAGTAAATAGTTGATGTTGTGCTCCTGTTGAGGAGATTTCAAGGGAAACTAAAGAGCTTAGTGTTGGTAATACTCTGGGAAGAGGGGAGTCTCCCTTCCAGTAAGGTTGTAGTAAATTAGTCCATTTTCTCAAGTATGTGCAGTAGATTAACTTCTGAGTTTGTTTCTTCTTTAGACATTCCTGAGAGTCTCCTGTGTGCTGATATACAGACAGTGAAGATTAATAGAAAATCCTGTGTGACAGAATTTGTGCAATCTTAGACATGTTCACATGTGACTTCCTATTTACCAGGTGCTTCCTTATCATGGAAATATCAGTGAAACGGTGTGCATAAGATCTAAAAGGAAAGACATTTTGGCTTTTCTTCTGGAGGTAGGAAATGCAACCTGCCTCACAAGGTTGTGACCTCCTTCACAGAAACTGAGTTTCATTATCCTCACTGGGCTCTTCAAGCACTGGAGACATTCTTATTTAAAACCTTGTGAACAAAACTAAGAGGGAGAAGCAGGGTGTGGTGGTGCACGTCTGTAATCCCAGCACTCTGGATGCTGAGAAGGAAGAATCTTTGGGAATTCAAGACCAGCCTGGGCTACAAAGTACAACTTATACCAATCTCAGGCCTCCACAAGGAGGTCCTTGAAGCCCATGTGTTCTCATGTCTTCACAGGCACATCTGAAGGGCAGCTGTGAGTTGTAGGAATCCTCTGTCCTGAGCAGGAATCCCAGGGAAGACGCAGGAAGAAAGCAATGCCTTTTTTTCTGGTCAATGTGTTTTTTCAGGTCAGGGCCTATGCCAACTTTTCTTTTCAGAAGCACATTTTATGTAGAACGTGCACAGTTTTACTGCTTTGGTTTGCTATCCTCTCTTCGCACAGGTTTCTTCCCCCTTCAGGAAGCTGCTTTCTTGCCACTTTAGTAGAAAGGAGGACAATGCATGTGGGGTTGATCCTATCTGTGATGAGAAGCTTTGCACTGTACAAAGTGATGTAAAACTTTCTGAGGAAGTTTCAGGAGATCCACAGAGAAAGAGCTCATTGGGGTTTGCATAGAAAATTAGATATTCCACAGAACAGTGAAACAGCTTGTGAAGAAGACAACAAACAGTTCAGTTCAATCCAAAGCTCAATGCAGAATCCCACCCAGGGTGACTACAATGAGCCCTCCTCTCTTCTTGCCTTGGCCATGACTTTTCACACTCGACACCCCTCCTCCGCTCCCCTAGTGGGCTGTGGAGTTGACTGTACCTTTCCCCACCACGCTGAGGAAAACTGCTGGGCTAGATAATATGAGGAGCACTAGTATCCCAAAACCATTGCTTTTGATGATCCCTATGCCATGACCAGAGGCTAGTGGGTCACCTCTCTTCAACCCTACACTACAGCCTTTCTTTTCTTTCCAAAATGTCACTCTGCCTCAGAGACTTTCTAAGTGCCAAAGCCCTATCTTAGTCTTGATTCCACTCTAAGAAAAGCAATGACCAGACGCTGAGGACTGCTCTGTTCAAACTCCTGCCTTGCACGGTTTCCTACTGCTTAGGTGCCAGGAGTTTGCAGAGAACTCAGAGAAAAGAGAAATGATAGCAGTGACCATAGATGAGGGAAAATCTATAAGAGAGACAGGCAGCTGTCCCCATGGTTGCCTCCTGACATTGCTGAGCATGAGCTCTCCAGGTCCCTCCACACAGCCTCAGCTTCCTCACCCTCCCTGGCCCTGGGGTTTGCATTGATAGTTGCTTTATGAGATAGGGTCTTGCTGTGCAGCTCACACTGGCCTCCAGCTTGTGCCAGTCCTCCTGCCTCAGCCACCACGGTGCTGAAATGACAGGTGTGCCCCACCACAACTAGCTCAATGGGGCCCGAGTTCATTAAACGAGGGGAACTTGCTTCCCACTGCCTGAGTCCCACATTTCCTGAGATCACACAGGTACTGCTGAGCTGGCTGGAGCTCTCTACCTTGTCACTGAAGCAGGGACAGAACAACCAGTAGAGGCCAGCAGGCTCAGGTCAGATAGCAGCTCAGCTGAGGGACGATTCTGTGCCTTGCTTAGTCAGAGAAGGATGGGACTTAGGAGACTCGCCAAGGATGCCTCCTCTTTCTTTTCTCCATTTTTTTCTAATCTGGAAACTGAACTCAGCCCATTTTCATAGTTAGACACAGGGTTCTATGTCACCAAATGCCCCAGTAGAGCTTGCACTAGTGATCCTCCTGCCTCAGCCTCTCAGGTTGCTAGGATGACAGGTGTGCCACCCCGAACCCAGTTCCAAAGCAACTTCTTTATAAGGGGGCAGGTGGTGTGGGATCTTCCTGAGGCAAGGCCTAGCGATGTTATCCAGCATAGGCTGGAACTCTCACTGATCCAGAGTGTGGAGATTACAGGTAGGTGAGCACTTCTGAAGATGCCCAGGACAGAGAGTGCTTTCAAGGCTTAAAGCTGTGACTAGGGAAAGGCTACACATTGAGGTAGAAGGCTACACATCAGACCCTGACCTTACGACCACCAAGTAGACTGGAGTCTGACACTCCTGGCTGTTGTTCCTGGAGTTGTTGATGACAGGGATTTGGTTGGAAAGGGGACACATCTGGGGACGCATCAGCTTCAAGGACTCCCGAGTGGGGACATCCCCAAAATCCAGCCACCTGGACACAATCACTTCTTTGGCCAGTATGTCAGGCATCCTGCACTTCCCCATGTTGGAGCAGGGAGTGAGAAGAGAGAGAGACATAAAGACAAGAGCAGGCTGATGGCAGCTGCCAAACAGCCCATCCCTGACTGGTGCTCCAATGCCTATGCTAACAAACTGGTGGGCTCTCTATGGTCCCCAGCCCACAGTGAAGGGACAATACATCCATGTAAATGGTCTATAAACAATTTCCCGTGACCTCACACCCTGGGAAAGGCTACAGTAAGAGAGGGGTAGCTGGACACAGCACTATGGGCCTGCAGTGCCAGCTACTTGGGGCCTGAGGCAGGAAGATTGCCTGAGCTTAGGAGTTCAACACCAGCCTAGGCACAGGGCAAGACCTAGGTTTAGAGGAAAGGGAAACCCTTAAACTCTTTTTAACCTGGATGTGTGTGATGATAATTGGCATCTTTGCACTGTCTTATAGAGTACTCGGCAGTACCTAGCAATGATTTTTGTTTTGAGTCAGGGTCTTGCTATATAGTACAGGCTGCTGGTATTGAATCCACTAACCAAGACTGGCATACCGAGTGTTGCGATTACAGGTGTGTATTACTACATCTGGCCAACAATGCTTTTGCCTTTCTTTTTTGGTGGTGGGACATGGTCTTGCATTGTAGTTTGTGCTGTCCTTGCACTCACAGCAATCAGCCACCACACCCAGCCTGCTTTACTTTTCTTAACAACATAGAAAATAATACTATAGCACTCTACAAGGCTGAGGCAGAAATTCACAAATTCAAGGCCAGCCTGCGAAAGTTAGTAAGGCTCTGTTTCAAAATGAAAAACAAAATAGGGTGTGTGGAACTATGGCTCAGTGTGAAGGCCCTGACGTCAACAGAGAAGCCGAAACATTTCTATCACACAACAGAATAGTTTCACAGATACAGCTCAGGCCAAGGCAGGTAATCCTGCTACATGTGGCACTGACACTCCGTGTAGCAGTGCAGCAGAAGCACACACATGTGCGTGCTCAGATCTGGCAGTAAATGTAAAGCTGTCCCACAAATTCAATCTGTTCCTCTAGTGCTTTTTTTTTTTTTTTTTTTTTTTTTTTTTGAACACATCTAATACTTTTATTTAAAGGCATAATTAAATGCCTGGAAGACTTAATTTAGATAAATTGATAAATATTGGCCTCTTTGCTTCCTACCTCCAAAAGTTCCCGAAGATTGAACATGAGGTCAACAATGTAGGTATCTGGTGCAGGGAGGCACCCGGTCACCCCCTTCTGAGACAGGTCCAGCAGCTTCACCTCATTCCATGCATGGCCATACTCTCCTCGAACCAAAGAGCAGCCAACACCAATTCTATCAGCCAGAGCCTTGAAAAGCAAAGCTTGATGGTAGAAGATCCCTTTTTTGATATATCCAATTGGTATAACATTGGATGTAAGTTGAAATTTTGGTTCACTTATATGAAGTTCCCAGCTGAAATCAGGTATTTTGTCTTTTGGAATCTTACCACCCATTTTCTCTGCTACATATTTGGCCAGAGCCTCAATCTGCTCCTTAATATTGGTCATGGGCAGGATTGACTTGGTCACTTCGTACACATATGTGCAGAAGCCAGGGTCAGGGGGAGGGTACCATTCTTTCTCAGGGCCACCTTCTCCAGCCAGCTTTGGTATTGTGAGGACCTCTTCCTCCTCTCTCATTTTCTCCTCTTCCTTTTTCCCTCTGCCTTTCTTTGCATTAACAGGACTGCAGGTGGTCAAGTTGGCCACGGCCAGGCCAGCGGCTTCTCTGACCTCTTCGTTGTCACTTCTGAGCAAGTGCACCATCTCTGGAATCCCCTGAGTATTAAAAAACTCTTTGCTGCCTGTGTTCTCACACATTGCTGAAATAACTTGGGAAGCAGCGATTTTAGTTCCATCGCTTTCCAAATCCAAAAGGGATACAAGGCACCTTTCAACTTCTTGTTCATGGGAAAGTTTTCTATTTTCAGAATAATAAGCTGCTTTGGCAATTGCTTTTGCTGCATTCTTCTGGATGTCAGGTACTGTAGAGCTCTCTGCAAATGCAAGGAGCTTTCGAAGTGCCTCTGTCCGCTGAATCAGCACCATACTATCCATATCTTCAAGGCAATTAGCCACCACTGAAAGTGCTTCTATGTGAAGGTCATCCAAATCCTTGGTTTCTAGGATCTTAATAAGCTGGTCCAGTCCTTGATTGTCTCTCAGCATTGTCTGGGACTTCTTACGCTTTGTCATAACATCCAACGTTTTGAGAGCCAACAGCTGAATAATTGGATATTCTGATTTCAAGAGATCTAATACAGGAGGAATTGCATTTAGTTCTTGAAGTGCAGTTCGACACTCAAAATCTTGGGCCAAGTTGTAAATGCTTTCAATAGAATTCTTCTTCACATCAGGATCGGGATTCCTCAGCAGTCTGATGAGTGGCTCCAATGCACCATGTTCATATACTTGCACTTTACCGGTAAACTCTATGGACATGTTTGCTAGGCAAAGACTAGCAAACTCATGGATAACTACGTCTTCTTCCGGGGTGAGCCGGGCAATCACAGAATTCATGACATCTAACTTCCTTAGCAATTTTCTAACATCACTGTTAGAAGTTAGGATTACAAATACCCTGGTGGCATTTCTTCTTACAATTTTATCTTCATGAGTGAGAAGTCTGGTTAAGGGTTCCACAGCTCCAAGTTCAAGAAGTGTTGCTTTATTTTTTTCACCTTTTAAAGCAAATTTATAAATGGCCTCACAGGCTTTAACCAGAACTTCTTCTTCAGGAGAATTCAGCATTAACACCACAGTTGCTGCTTTTTTGCTCTCAATTGTTAATGGGTCAAACACATCCTTAGGAGGAGGCTTCACTTCCTTCTTTATCTTTTTATCCATCCTGCCGGGATGTCCCACAGATCCTGGGCTCCTTCACAACTCTCCACTAGTGCTTATCTTGTGACCGCCAATCGCTTCCAGCGGGACTCCTGTGTCAGATCAAGTGCAGCAAAATGGAAATTCTGCGTGTGCCTCTTCTCCATTTCACACCGAGCACAGGACACTGCCCAAGCTGAGAAGCTGGGAGGGGTGCAGGAGATGCACACACAGTGGGTGCCAGGTTGCCTGTGCCTGCGAGGAAGGTTCCCAGACTGAGCTCTCCCCCTGGGTGCCTGGGAACTTGCCTGTGTGTACATCCTAAGCACCCGTTGCATCTCTCTGAAGCAGCTTGGCTCCTGGGCTCAGAACATATTGGGCAGCCCACAGAGGGCAATGAAAACATTGTAAACACTGAGAAGCTTCAAATAATAAAGCATCTAGAAAGAAAAAAGAATGGGAGATTAACTCCAGAGCAATGGACATATAGAAAGCCTTAATAGCTACAAAACTGAAAATAAACGAAACATCCATGGCTGCAGCAGCTGCAAGAGGTACTATGAAGTGCTGACCAGGCTGGAAGGGGCAGAATCCACAGATAGATTTTTTTAAAGAAGAGAACAGGCCCACCCTTTCTACATGACTCAGTACTTCCACAGTCTCATCACCAGTATTCGACACAGAAAAACTTGCCTGTCTGTGCTGGATGTCATGTATGCTTTTCAGGAATCCACGCTGATGAGGGGACAGGAATACAGCAGCTCTCCTCCCTCGGGGGCTCTCACCAGTCAAAGGTCCCTGCCCTGGTCAGTGTCTACCAGTGCTCCCAGACTCTCCCAGTTCTCAGCACTTTCTTAAGCCCCAGTGTTGTCTGGCTGTACCCAAACAGGCAGGGGAGGGCTACACGCTGGCTGGGCACAGCCCACACTGGACAGCACCGTAACCCTCTCAGGGGCAACTCTGCTATCACCAGCAATCCGCTAACCCACTGCCAGCAAGGGAAGGAGGCCTGGTCAGATAAAACTCCCTCCCTGTGGTACATGAACCACTGTGGCTGCATGGACACCATCTGGTCGGGTGTTTGTTCCTCTTAAGTGCCGCATGCACACCAGTGGGGTGTATGCCACGGAGCCCCACCTACTCTAGTCATCTGCACCCAGCTAGCTATCATAACCAAAGGATCATCGCCACCTGGTGCCCTGCTTCATGGGGCAACCTGCTCTGCCCACATGTCCCTCCTGTCCCTCCTTCGTGTCATACTGCTTCAACTTAGCATGCACAACTGTGTTTCAGAAATGCAATACAAACAGCTGTGCAATGTGTCCCTCTCACCTTAACAAAAAGAAGAAAAGCTATAGAATTTCAACACCTCCGGTTTCTGTCAACCTTCTCAGAAACCTGATGTTGCTGGGTCACCAGGGAGCCTAAAATGGAAGGAAAGAAGGGAAACAGACACAACCAGGAGGTGGCGAATGGTGGGACCCGGGGCCTTTGTGCAGCAGCAAAAATTCACATGTGACTGCACCCAAACGTAAGAGCAGAGAAGTGCACTCACATCCAGTCTTGTGGCCTCCTGAACACCCCCAGAGGAAGGTTGAGGTGTTGGGGGACGAGGTGTGGGGCCTCCATACAGAGGCTCCTCTGCACGAGGACACAACCCAGGAACATGCTGCAGGGCAGGATGGTGATCCCTGGGCTGGGGAAGCAGGGGGCACCTGAGAGGTGCTGAGGGATGGCTTCTCAACCTCAGGAAAACAGGTAGCAGGACTGAGACTACCACAGACTATTGGCCTCTGACTCAGCTCTGCCCCGACCAAACCACGACTAAAGAACTCACTGCCATGGGGGACTCAGGTCAATAATTTCTGACATTGCCAGTTAAACAGAAGACCCAATGCTATTATGGGCTACTGGACTCTTTTAGAATATTTTGCTGAGTTTACACACCTATAATATTCAATAATGGAGCTTAGAACAAATGGGGTATACCGATGAATGTCCATTTTGTATCTGTGTATTCAAAGTGGTTAGGATAGATATATAGTTGCATTCTCTTAATGAATAAATGATTTGTTCTAATGGTGTTTGTAAATAGGATCTCAAGTCGACATCTTGTACAGCAATTAACCACTAAGAAGACTATATGCAGTGTATTATTTGTTGAAACTGTACTTCCAATTTGATTTGAAACTGTCTCATTGCTGTTTATCAATAAAATTTCGAAAAAAAAAGTCAAAAAAAAAAAAAAGAACTCACTGCCAGCCCTGCGGTTCCACAAGTACAAGGCACACATGGGCAGAGAGAGAGCAGAGCCCTTCCCAAGGCCCAGGCTGCCAGAGGGGACACGGCCATAGCAGGACCACAGCAGCAGCCTGCCACAGTCACCCTGCCAGGTCACTGCACGCCACTGGAGAGAGCAGAAGCCTGGGAAAGCCTGACTTCACCCAAAGCCCAGGACTGCCAAGCAGTGAGACTGACTGGACTCATGAGGTGAAAGCCTAATACAACACTTCCCAGACTGAGCATTCTTTATTTCAGTTTCAGTCTTACGTGTTATGCTGGACAACAGCCAAAAACTCTCAAGGCTGGGCATGACAGTGCACACCTGTAATCCTATCACTCTGGGAGGCTGAGGCAGAAGAATACAAAGTCTGAGGTCACCCTGGGAAAGTTAGTAAGTTCATAAGATCCTGTCTCAATAATAAAAGGAGATGTAGCTCACGGCAGGGGTCCTAGATTCAATCCCCACTCCTGAAAAAGGACAGAACAAAAAAGAACACAGTGAAGACAACTCAATAAAGGAAAATGTCTCAAACTGAACCACAGGAAAAAATCATAGAAGAGAACAGCTAAGAACAATGGAGCAATATTAAACCACCTAACGCTTCCATAGCTGGAATCCCAGGAAAGGCGATGGAGCTCAGTAGTGCAGCAAGTGCCGGACGGTAGTGTGGGCCTCAGCTTTTTCTTTTTCTTTTTTTTTTTTTTTTTTGTTTTGTTTTGTACGAGGCCTCAGTCTCAAGATCTCGCAATTGCCAAGCAGGCACTTAAGCTGCTGACTTATTTCCTTGGTCTACAGCTTTTATTAAAAAATAATTAATAATAATAATAAACCACAACAACAGGGCTCAGCATACCCATCTTATGTATAAAGTCACCATTCAATCACACAGATGTTGAAAAGGTATAAGGTACATAAATGCAAGAAGCACTTTTCTAAGAAGCAGGTACACATGGTAGCTGGTACCTAATGATGCAACTGGTATCTAATAACAAAAACAACAACTGGGAATGCATCATATGCCTGTAATTACAGCGTTTTGGGAGGCTGAGGCAGGGGGATGCTAGTCTGAGTCCAGTTTGGGACACTTACTTAGCAAGACCCTTTAAAAAAAAAAAAAAAAAAAAAAGGTGTGATATGTTATATGTGCAAAGGCCCAGAGTTCAATTTCCAGGAAAGAAACACAAATAGACAGGCAAGACAAGAAAAGAAAAGCTGGACAGAGGGGCACAAAACTGTAATACAAATCCTAGGGAGGCTGAGGCAGGAGAATTGCAAGTTCGAGGCTATTGCAGCACTCCTACAAAGTTCAGGTTACCTTTTGGCATGTTCCAAAATTTAGTGAATGCTGCTGTGAAGTGCCACCCACTGGAAAGGCATATTTATAAAAACACGACAGTGTGTCTTCCTCCACCTCATTCACTGTGTTTCAGGCAGCCAAAGTTACAAATATTATAGGCAGTCAGACAGGGTCAGGCCCTCCAAGGAGATGACGAAGACCAGACACCTTACAACTGTGGGAGATGCTCCCGCTGTGAGCCAGACCCAAAGACCAAACAAATGCTGACCTCCCTAAAGGTTGGCATCCAGGACTGCTCATTAGTCGGGAAGAATCATTGTCTGAAGGCCACCAGGTAAGGTCCTGTTTTACATTCATGCCCACTTGCTACATGACTCCCTACTCCATTTGGTCCTGGGCCTAATCAATTTTACCTGAGTAACGGTGCTTGTAATACCATTGGTTGACCACAGTTTTGTCCCACCCTTCATCTACTTAAGCAAGTTCCCATTCTCTGCACTTTAGCCCCACATGGTTTTACACTATAAAAGTCCCTGGAAGAGACAGCTTCCCGGGGAACTACCTGCTCAGGCCCACCTCCTGTCCTTCTCTCGGACAGGAGCTTTATTTTCCCTCAAGAAATGAATTCTACTCTTAACCTCTGTTTGTTCCTAAAATTCATTCTTTAGTTTTAGAGAACACGAACTCGTCCAGGTCAGGTCATGAGATCATTTTCCCTTTGTCATTTGGAGGTCACTAACCCGAGATCAACTGGATGAACTGGATCAACTTCTCCCTATATCAACTGGACCTGGCACCATGACATTTCTGCCTCTTCCCCAAAGTCAAAATGACCAGGAAAGGTAAAAGGTCTGAATCGATTCAGGTCATCAAGGCACCCACAATAATGTGACTCAAGATGCAATAGAGGCCTTTGAAAAATGCTTCAGAAAGTACTAGAAACCAGAGGCAGTATTTTGAGGATTATTCATGGCAATGTGTCTTTTGCTATAATGAGTGGTCTAAACTTATTTCAACAACACATCCTCTTTTTTATGTCTCGATAAAGCTGTTGCTTAAATAAACAAAAAACAGTCTATGAGGAAGGAAAAAATTGTCCTCCCTTGGATCACTGTCCAGCATCACTGCTGGGCCCTTTTGGGAAATGCACCCCAGGTGATTTCAGCACAGCATGGGCAGCACAGAGGGTGCGAGAGCCTGCTGCACACCAGCCAACCTGGCACAGCAGTCACACACGTGGCCCATCACCGAAGGAAACACTGTCTCATGGCGCATGATTCTGAGGTGGCCCTCTGTCCTTCCCACACACACACTGCACGCAGCTGCAGGTACCTGCTTCAACTCAGTCTGAGGGAAATAGATGAAGTATGGCTGCCTTTGGCTTGTTAAGTGACATCGCTGCCACTCATAGAATCCATCGGCTAGGACAACACAGCGTCTCCCCTTTCCCAGAGGCACCTGAGAGA